TCCAATGTACACTCTGTCGCAGTCTCCGCACTGGTTGTATACAACATTCAACACCTCCCAGGTTAGTGGGCACGTACATCTTAAGTAAAACATTGCCCAGTGTTTTGCTAGGTACCTTCTGATATGTTGAGATACCTGGGGTATGAACGGTAGAATTGCCATTGGTCCACATGAACTGACCATCTTTAAGTTCGGTTTGCTTTGCACATTAAATGATTGAAGAAAAAGTTAAAGGAAAACAGTACAATAGTCAGTATAATAGTCCTCTGCGCTGACAAAGGAACGAAAACAGTGGTGATGCCTATTGATAGATATGAAGCGAGAATGTTGGATTACATCAGGAATAGCGTTGTGTACACCAAACTTCGAACAAAGGAGCGAAAACAGTGGTGATGCCTATTGATAAGTATAAAGCGAGAATGTTGGATCACTTCAGGAATAGCGTTGTGTACACCAAACTTCGAAGTAATGCCAACCTTGACAAGACAACGCGTCAGAAGCTGTTGGAGGTTTTAAGGAACGTTTGTCGTTGCAGCTGACAGGTTGGGTCATTAAGCCAGACTGATAAGCATGAATCCGATTGAGGACAGAAACCATTGTCCCAAATGCAATTCTTGTCCCATCGCTGCTGAACTGTACACTAACGTCGTTAAAAAAACTACAGGATGGTTCGATAGTGCATTTTCTTGCAATATTTTAAGCTTGTTTTAGAATCTTTCATTTCCTTGATAATCGATATACTCTGTTGATGCACATACAACGCTGAACGGTATTAGATATTTCCGAAAGCTTTATGTAGCACAGTCTGGAACTAAGCTGTTCCCATGATTCTACGATTCCTTCATAATGTGAGTGCTCTGCAACTACAGCCGTACATTCCTTGTTCACATTCCGATTTGAATAGTAAATAAGCTATCTGACCATCTAGACAGTACAAAGTTTTGAAATATTCGTTAAACGTGTCTCTTGAAGGCATGCTATCGGTGCATTAAGATTTAGTTTAGTTTAGATTTAGTTTTTAAGTTGCAGTGCAGAAAGCTGTACATCGGTACTGACATAGGCATGTTTAGTCAGTAGGACAGATAATGCCAAGCAAAACAGATCGCACAACAAAACGTGGAATAAAGCTGACTAGTAAAATTCGACATATGTGCTGCACAGTATAATCGAGTGTTTATTGGCGAGAAAATTACAGAAAGTAAACCGCGTAATTTAGTTTTACTACTAAATTAAACTAGATATCATAAGCTTGAAAGTCAGAGCTGCATAAATCTGTATCTTAAAGCGTGTTCTCTGCGTAAATGAATCCATTTTTATTTTAGCTTGTTCATGAAATTAATCAAATGGTGGCATCGTACAAAAGTTTGGTCCAGCTGATAGGTACGTCCAGTGACAACGCCCATGTGCGCGAAGATATGACTGCTCTCAGAGAACAATGCCTGAAAACATGTGATACTGCCAAAAACTGTCTATTGCCTCAGTTGAAGAGGTAATTGATAGCTGCATTACAAGAAACCTGTAGTCGTTGCCTCCGCAAAGTTAGGATCAAACACAGAAGCGAAAAATTAAAAGTATTTCTTGAAAAAACGAATGTTAATTTTATGTGTTTAAGGAAGAGCATTTGTTTATGTTTTGTAAATAAATTTTTGAGTCGTAAGATGAAATTGTCATTAAAATAGAATTAGCTGGTTTGATATTCAACGTTCGCACTGGTCTTCGCCAAGGCTGCGTCCTGTCCCCTATCCTGTTTGTGTTGTACATGGAT